ATAATGTAAAACATGCAAATAGCAACTTTCCTAACAAAGGCTACATGCATTTCACTTTCAAAAAGTGAAAAGGACATATGGGATAGACTTTGTATAACTTACAAAGGAACTAATGAAGTAAAACAATATAGATTAAACATCTTGTTACATGACTAGAAATTGTTTCGCATAAAATCTAATAAATATATTTCTGACATGTACACAAGATTCACACAGATAGTCACTTCTTTATATGCATTAGGTAGGGAACTAACAAATGTTGAAATGGTTAATAAGATTCTCCATTATTTTCCTACTATATATGTGTTAAAATTACTATAATTACATAGTCTAAAGATTTGAATGTTTACTCTATTGACAATCTTTTTGGATCACTAATTGCTTTGAGCAAGGAGTGAGTTAAAGAAAGATTAATGCAGTAGAGCCACGAAACAAGAAGAACATTGCACTGAAAGTGGAGGAGTCGAAGAGTGATCTATCACAACCTAAGGATGAAGATGACATAGCTTTAATGACTAGACAATTCATGAGCTTTCTAAAGAGGAAGTAGAAGAGATGCCAATAGTGGAACAGAGGTAAATCTATACAACTATATAAGATTGGCTTGGGATTCCACTCTTATCAAATCCTAATCGTTCATCTTTAAATTTCAAATTAATCTGACACGTTCATATCTGCCTCTTCAAATTCTTATTTATCACTATATTTATAAAATTTTTAGCGTTTGTCAATTCTTTAAAATATTTTAAAAGGAATAAATATTTTTTTAGCATTTCACGATTCTTTAAAATGTTTTAAAGAGGAATAAATGTTTTATTAACTATTATTTTCTTACCAATCATTTCAGTTCAACTTCTGCCGCTGCCGCTGCCGCTGTCGGATTCCAACCCTAAATTTTCTCTATCACATCTGGCTGACCGCTCGACTTCCAAATAAGGTGCGTCTTGAGCGTTTCGATTGCTGCATCATCTGGCCATTCCACTTCCGAAAGCAGCCCCTTGCCGTTTCATTTCTGGAGACCTCATGTTCCTGTAGTGTAATGAAGAGAAAAACTTCTGCATTACTCCACCATCCACCCTTTCATCAACTACCATACCAAGGAGTTTCAATTCAACGACTACCATGGCCGTCGCTGCCGTACGAACCAGTCTCCTGATCGAACAGTCCCCGATTTAAAGCCCAAGCACTTCTTTTTTACTTCTTTCATTTTCTGCTCTCTCATCTTCCACTCGCCAAACACAACTACTATACCGATTTTGTGTCTCGCCAAAAGCATCAACCCACCAGTCAGCTCGACTGATAAGCTCTCCAGTTCGGCATTTCTAAGCTGCACGGAGAACAACTTTTCTGTTTTGATTCTAGTTATCACCTCCGACTGATCGGCATTTCTAAACCAGATGTACGTTTTCTTCTAATCATTGTTCT